CAGTACTCCATTGGAGGAGATTTTCTCATGCAAAGATGTAACATGCTGATTAACCACCTTGCACTGTTGTAGAAACTAACTGGCTAGTCACACCTGTTTCGCGAACATGGTCACAATGCCTTCATTTGAATAACATTGGTTCAACAATATAAGACTATATAAGACAATATAAGACTATTGTTAATGAGGTAAGAGCTGTGCAGGTAAAACCTCACTCCCCTGATATCAAGAGGCGCACTAGCGACTGATATTAGCGACTGTAGTCATTAGCCTCCTTGTTATTGCGCCCGCCTCCCATGCCGGCGACTCGGGTTCAAGTCCCACTCGGAACAAGTTTGGGCAATGGGTGTTACACCTGGTGACTACTTCACTGTTTTGTGTTCGCTGTCATTTTGCTCTATTTGATGTTTGGTTCATTGCGGATTCCCACATTTTTCCCGGAATATAAATATGAGTAACACAAAGGCCAAGTTCCCTTGATCATCCATCACAAAGAGTAGAACCAAAGAATGTAAATCTGATGTGCAGCAACAGATTATTGAGCTTCACAAGAAAGTGGCTGTAAGAAAACATCTAAAGCATTGAAAATCCCCATTTCCACAATCAGGGCAATAATTAAGTTCCAATCAACTAAAGATGTTACAAATCTGCCTGGAAGAGGACATCTGTTTATGGTCCTAATGCACAGTGAGGAGAAGAGTTTGAGTCGCCAAAAACTCTCCAAGGATCACAGCTGGAGAATTGTAGAGATTAGATGAGTTGAAAATTATCGAAAAGCACCTACATCACCACAATTTGTCTGGGAGGGTTTCAAGAAAAAAAAATGCTCTCATTCAAAAACAAACTCCAGCATGTTCAGTTATCAGACACAACTGGAACTTCAAATGGGACTGGCTTCTATGGTCAGATTAAACTAAACACTTTAGTAGTTTTTTTTTTTTTGGCAGCAAACACTCAAGATGGGCTTGGTGCACACTGCACACAGGAGTAGAAAAAGTACCCCATGTGTACAATGAAATATACTGCTGGATGTTTAATGTTGTTTTCTGTCTGAGGTCCTTGACATCTTGTTCAGATACATGGCATTATGGATTCTATCAAAAAGCAACAGAAAAAAATTCTAAACCTGACTGCCTCTGCTGGAAATCTTATAACAGGCAGTGGTGGGATCTTCCATCAGGACAACAATCCAAAAACAAACAAACAAACAAACAAAAACATCAAAATCAACACAAAAATGGGTCACTGAGCATAAAACGAAGGTTTTTCCATGGCCACACCAGTCCTCTGACCTTAAGGAAGAAGGAAGTACTGGAGATGAGAGATGCTACAGGATTAGATTGAGATAAGAGTGTTGAAATAGATAATGTGTTTAAAACTCATTAAATTCCGGACAGCTCCATAAAATCCTAAAATGTACATGCCTCTGCAACCTTGGGCACCCGGAAAGGGGTAGATAAGAAAAGTCATCTTTTGAAAAACAGACTAGCAGGTGGTTTTCTACAATTAAAACAAGTGTTATGGAAACTAATAAACAATTTAGGAAAGTAACTGGAATGGCATATCAAAGAATGGTCTATACGCTCATTGGACAGTGACCGTTGACGAAATTGTATAAAGGTGACAGTCTGGACAGAAACAGATTCAGATGATCAGCTGGCATCACGGCTTTGTTGTCTTCTTTCAGTAAAGTCTATTTTGACTTCTGAAACTCCGACTCTGAATTTTTTTTTTTTTTTTACAAGACTTTAAGACTGCATAAACATGGACCTCGGAATCTGAAAGATCTGGGAAGATTCTGTGTAGGAAAGTCTTTTCCTTTAGTTTCACTTTCATATTTTACCACTAGAGGGCGCATGTCTTTCATCTTACTGATACCTATACACCTTCCCTTTAAGACCATGTGCTTTATACACTGCACACAGTGAGCCACGGTGAGCAACCAAACTTTAAAGCTGTGTGCGTTCATGCAGAAAAGTAAGTTTACTTCCTAATTTCTAGCAGAAATATGCATGTTGATGATGTTGAAGTTATTGTGATGATGTTACATTTATCTTATAAGCATATACTCTCACAATATGATGTTATTGTCACGGGGTTGTGGTTGTAGTGAGTGCACGACGAAGGAGTAGGAGTAAAGGAGTATTTTTAATCAGCATCAACCACATAAACCATTGAAAATAACATTAATCCAAGACAAAGAAATGACAGAAACTGAGGGCTTATAAAGGGCAGGCAACTAAGGAGCAAACGAGATGATTAATACAACACAGGTGGAAACTAATGAATGATGATTAACTAAATGAGCAGGAAACAAACCAAATAATGACAGACAGGAACTAAACAGAAACCAACACGTGACAGATATCGCCCCCCTCCCGGAAGGCGCGTCCCGCGCCGTAACAGTAACATCGGCGGGCGGATCAGGGAGCTCCAGGAGCCATGGCGAAGCAGGCAGTTCAGGTTGCCATGGCGGAGCAGGGGACTCAGGATGCCATGGCGGAGCAGGCAGTTTAGGTTGCCATGGCGGAGCTGGTAGCTCAGGAGGCCATGGCGGATCAGGGGACTAAGGAGGCCAAGGCGGAGCAGGCAGTTTAGGTTGCCATGGCGGAACTGGTAGCTCAGGAGGCCATGGCGGATCAGGGGACTCAGGAGGCCATGGCGGAGCAGGCAGTTCAGGTTGCCATGGCGGAGCTGGTAGCTCAGGAGGCCATGGCGGATCAGGGGACTCAGGAGGCCATGGCGGAGCAGGCAGTTCAGGTTGCCATGGCGGAGCTGGTAGCTCAGGAGGCCATGGCGGATCAGGGGACTCAGGAGGCCATGGCGGAGCAGGCAGTTCAGGTTGCCATGGCGGAGCTGGTAGCTCAGGAGGCCATGGCGGATCAGGGGACTCAGGAGGCCATGGCGGAGCAGGCAGTTCAGGTTGCCATGGCGGAGCTGGTAGCTCAGGAGGCCATGGCGGATCAGGGGACTCAGGAGGCCATGGCGGAGCAGGCAGTTCAGGTTGCCATGGCGGAGCTGGTAGCTCAGGAGGCCATGGCGGATCAGGGGACTCAGGAGGCCATGGCGGAGCAGGCAGTTCAGGTTGCCATGGCGGAGCTGGTAGCTCAGGAGGCCATGGCGGATCAGGGGATATGGCCCCCCCCAAAGATTTTCTTTGGGAAATCTAGGAATCCTGGGGGGCGCTCTGGAGGAGCGGGCACTTGAGGGCGCTCTGGAGGAGCGGCCACTTGAGGGCGCTTACTAGGCGTGGACACTGGAGGGCGCTTACTAGGCGCGGACACTGGAGGGCGCTTTCGAGGAGCGGGCTCTGGAGAGCGCTTTCAGGGAGCGGGCACTGGAGGAGCGGAATTCGCTAACACAGAGGGCTCAGGAGATGAAGGAGGGCTGGATGGGACCAGCGGAGACGAAGGAGACTCAGGAGACGAAGGAGAGTTTTTTGGAGCGAACTCTGGTGAGAGGATAGGGACAGAGAACTCGGGAGGTAGTGCCATGTCCAAAAGTGCTGAGAGGCCAGCGGGCTTGCGTCAGCGGCAGCCGGCGGGCTTGACTCGGGAATCGCTGGCGGGTTTAACTGCGGGCTGGTTCTGGATCGGGGCTGGACACTCTCCAGACACTGGAGGATTCCTTCCCTCCAGCTCAGTCCTGTGGTGTCTGGGAGGTCCACGGGGCGATAGTAATTGGCCCCGATCCAGAACAGTGAGTTGAGCGTTGTGTCATCTAGCGTCGTACACACGGCGAGTCCGCAGAACTCCTGCGCATACTTCTTAAATGGGAGATCCAGGCGGGCTAGGGCGGCGAAGCGTGCGGCGGTCTCCATGCCGCTTACTTTCGGTTTGGTCTTGGATTCTGTAACGGGGTCGTGGTTGTAGTGAGTGCACGACGAAGGAGTAGGAGTAAAGGAGTATTTTTAATCAGCATCAACCACATAAACCATTGAAAATAACATTAATCCAAGACAAAGAATGAGACAAAGAAATGACCGAAACTGAGGGCTTATAAAGGGCAGGCAACTAAGGAGCAAACGAGATGATTAATACAACACAGGTGGAAACTAATGAATGATGATTAACTAAATGAGCAGGAAACGAACCAAATAATGACAGACAGGAACTAAACAGAAACCAACACGTGACAGTTATACGTTAATCTATGTTGGGAAGCTAACATGCTAGTATCAGAGACACATGCTGTAATGTGTTTTTATTTTAACGTATAAATCTTGATCTGTTAGCTATTTTAAGATCATTTTGATATGCTACACTATCGTTATTGTGAATTTGTCAGTAAATTTAAGACCATTAATGTTTATCTGTTTCTGTTCAGAATGGAAATGTTTAACATCTGTAGTAAGTTAATAGAAAGACTGTAATATTCTTTATATCTAATTTCCACAATTTTCCCTTTATTTCAGACCACACATACACACCCCAAATACCCCAATACCTTTTGCCTGTATACCTTTATGCTCACCAACGTGGCCTGTATAAACCCAACTCATTAAAGCTTTCTTGGATGTGACTCTCTGAGCCCTTTACTTTCTTACCGGAGTCGCCACTTTTCAAAGGTCTATCAGAACAATCCAGAGGTTCCACCTCTACATTGTGTATACAAACAAATGGTCTCTGACCTTATGTTAGGTGTTCTCCAAGCTCATCAGGTATTATAAGAAACACTCAGACCTGTTATCTTGGCAAATGGAGGTTTCAAAAAGTATTGAATAAAAGAGTGTCAATAATTATGGCCAACATGTATTTGAGAAAAACATTCATTTCGTAATGAGATTTCTTCCGGCCCATTTTCAATTGTTTCGTTTAAATGAAAGGTTAGATTTTTGTGAACTTTTTTTATAAAAGATCAAAAGGATAAATAATGCAGATTTATTTTTGTAGGCTTCTTTGTTCATATTTACAAAGAATTGCCCACGAAGTTAGAGAGAGAGAGAGAGAGAGACTTGAAAACTGTTGAAAAGTAAAAAGTGTTGAATTCAATTGCCTTTCAGATACCTCTTTCTGTAACTATGCTTCTGTATTTTATTTGTCATTATGAGATGAAAAAAATTACTCATTTGAGTAACTTTATTAAAATTACGTTGTCAAGATGCACAATTATATCAATTTAAAGTAATGTTATTTTTTTCTTTTCTTTTTTGATTATTATTATTATTATTAATTTGGTCTTTAGATAAAATGTTCTGTATGGGACAGATGTATGAAACATAGCCTATATTTAACTAGAATGAAGGATACAGAATGTACTGCATGTTAGCTTGCTTACTGTGCCCAAGAGCATGATCGCTTGAAGTCTACATGTCTACATCATGATGCTTTTAGGAAACACACCCTAGAACAACACTTGGACAGTGTCTGATTACATTTCACGAGTCCACAGGACACAAGAACAGACAAGAACACATATTGAGAAACAGCCCATTACTCTTAGAATTAAGTAGTTCTAACTGCTGTGTCTTTAAGATTTTTATACAAACACCCTCTTTGAAACAGTATCTGTGGTTACTTACGTGTTGTGGGTTTTCTGTTGGGTCCAGTGTAGATTTTCCCTCAATGCAGCGCTACCCATACTTAGTACTTAGTAATACCCATACTAAATAGCAGGCAAATATTGTGACACAATCACAAAGCAATCCACACTGAAAGATTTCAAACAAATTTTTAGGAACTTCTTTAAACTCACACAAGAACAGGACCAAATGACTCTCCCACTTTTTAAATACACAGGTATAGATACTGTGTGCATATCTTTCTTCCTCATTATTTGAATATGCATATGAAGATGTGAAGTTAGCTGTGACATTTTGGCAGCTACTGCTCTAGCAATTTCAAACAGTGGTGCCTTACTTTTCTGTTCCTGTTTTACTGGGCTTTTTTTGTGTTTGTTACTGACTGTAACCCAGTTCTCTTATTTTCATTGATCTGCACTTTTTGTTACACATTTGTGATGTTTTTGAGTGGCATTAAATGGATTTTAAACACCTCCAATTGGCCTTTGCGTTCAAGAAATCAACAAACATGGGCCCGTTCTTCGTACGTAGCTTATTACATCCGAGATGAAATGTCACATCCAAGATGATATCATCGCGCTAATCAGGATCTGGCTAATTCGGTTCTTCGAACGCACCTGTTGTTGATGATGAGTATGGCTGGATTGAGTTATCTGAGATAATTGTGCGTTCATGGGTTGGTTTAAAAGGGGTTATGTATCGATACTCGAAACCACGATCAGCAGTCCAGCGATTGGCTGGCGACAAGACAGCAACGTAATGACATCATATAATTAAAAAAGACACCTGACGAAAAACTTGACAAATTTCTGGACTTTTATAAGGAAACATCTAACATCATAGATAAATGAAATGTGCGCTGTTTTTATTTTATTTAAATTTTCTACATGATTCCCAATAATTTATATTCACGATTTCTAATATTTGTACAGGCTTTACATTTTTATTTCAATGTAGTAATGTTTCTTAAAGGTCGAGATCATGTTACTGCATCTCCTGCGCTCCATCAAGCCACTCCCATAATAGCGGTCACCACTCAAATTAATGCATGAAAGAAGTCTGCTCCTGAGCAGGTTTAAGCTTAGGGACCTGTTGCTATGACAACAACAGCAATGAGCGTCGAAGAACCAAACAATGCAAGATCATGCCAAATCTGTTCAACTATCAAATCCAGCTAACTGAGTTAGCGATGTACGAAGAACGGGTCCCATGTCTGCTGCAAAGACGCTCACCAGAGAGCAAACACATTTTCATTCGAGGATGCTTAGCACCTTCTAGCACCCCCATATGGACCTGAATGAAATGCATTAATTTTAGAAGTTACAGTGTTTAAATAAGCCATTCTGCATCCATAAAAAGAGTGCATCTTGCTTTAGTAAAATGAATTAGTTAATGTTATTGTCAGCTAGGTGTGTGCAGACAGACTGAAGAGACGATGAAGTTCAAACGCAATCTTTAATAATAATAATAATAATAATACACAAGTTATTCCAAAACAGGGCAGATGAAACACACCAAAACATAAATGTTACAGGACAAAGAACACAGGAACAACTGAATACAAACTAGAAGTCCATGAAACTGAAGCTAACTGAACGTAACTGTGACGGTTATTAAGTTTCAAAATCATTTAGCAAATTCCTTATCTACAATATTAAATTTTACACAGCCCATGTATTCAGTGCTTACAAAGCACCATGCATTATTTCCTAAGTATTTATCTCTGTGAATCCCCTGTGGACTACAGGTTTAGGGGTATGGTTAGGGATGGGCCTTCATGAATTCATTAAAGGCGTCTTTTTTTACATGTTGCAGATTCTATAACGAATGATGAAAATAGTTAAAATCTCATATGCAGATTTTGATAAAGATTACAAGGACGTGTGAATTTAAAATAATAATAATAATAATAATAATAATAATAATAATGTGCACCAATAAATAATTTATAATAAATACTGCAAAATTAAAAAAAATTTAAAAAAAAGTTGATTTTGATCTCATGATGACGTTAAGGAAACTCTGGGGGCAATTTAAATGATCTACTATGATTTTGTATGAGCCATATTTAGACAAAGTCATTTTAAGACAATAGACCACTATAATAGATTATTTTTCATATTATTTATAATAATAATAATCCAAAGTATTGTATGCTATACTGGAGGCATACAAGTAAAGGCTGCATTAACACATTTCTCTCAAAATTGCATGATGGAGTTTTGAGAAGTATTGAGATTCTTATTGAAAAAATTGATTAGAAATCTGCATGCATTATGGGTGTAACAGTTCTCGCCTCCTTCATTTTGGTATGCATTTATAATCCAATCTCAGTTATAGTCAAGTCAAGTGTATTTTAGGAATACATGGCCTCTCGGACCATAGTTCCACAGAATCACAATAGTATGACAGATACTCTTTTCTTCATTCCATGGTGTATATACAGTGCCAATCTCCATGCATACTCTGAATCACAAACACTTGACTCATCAATACAGACATCACCAACAAGAGCGAGATCACTCAAATATTTCTTACGCAGATCCACATACAAAGAACTATCAAACAAAAAATATTTCTCGTCTTCTATCACAGAATAAATCAAAGTTAACTTACAATAGTTGCAAATTCTCTCTGCCACTGGTGTGTTACTCCATCTACCTGTTTCTATAGCCAGATGATGACCTGAGCATCTGAACAGAAACAATGATCATACCAACCGTATGTTATATACAGATGCACTGTAGCTCTCTTGTACCCTCAGGGACTTGCATTGTGAATATATATTCAACTTCTTATTTTCTAGAACTGACGTGTACCATGCATCACATGCTTTTTCTCTCAATTGCTGATTCAGAATAGATGTAAACGTTCTTATATCACCAACACTTTGAGCCTCCCAGACAAACCATAAAAATACAACATAACTCTAATGCAGGAGACCCATGTTTTCTCTACCTACTTCATCTAACTGAAAAAGCATGTTAGAACATTTTCTTGGATATCGATGATTAGACATAGACACTAATTTTATCCAATACATGATACATCTTTTCATATAAACAATAGACAATACAAATCTACCCAGATCTCCCAACACAGCTACATTGCTCACACTTGTACTGATACTCTAAAAACTCAAAAGTTTTTTTTACAAAAAGATAACTGAACATTTTCAATACACTCTACTGGCTCAAAGCCCCATATTTCAGCTCCATAATACAATATGGATGCAGCATGTGGTCAAACAAATACAAAGCTTGGTTACAGCTAATTTTATGTGTACGAACAAACCCTAGTAAAGAAAGCATTGCTTTCTTACCCTGGCTTGCTAAATGTTGTCTGGCTTTCCACCATGACAGTTTTGGTGTAACCCACATACCTAGATATTTATAACAATTAACCACTTCAATCTGCTGACCAGAAAAATACCATCTTTCATTTTTATTTAAAGAGTCCCCTCTTCTAAAAACCATAACTTTTGTTTTACTCAAATTCACTCTCATACAGTAAAAGGTTACAAAATATTTCCAGCTGTTCAGCTTCTTTCTGCAACCCTCCAATTGTATCAGATATATTAGGCATATTATCAGCGTACAGCAATGTCTGCACTTCTGTGATATTTTCTGTGATATTTGTCATTTTATTTGAATACCTTTAACATTGTTATATATTCATTTAGTAGAAGAATAAACAAAAGTGGACTCACCATGCAGCCCTGTCGTACACCAATACTACAGCCAAAATATTCTGTTAAGCCATCAGTTCATTTCACACATGATTTAAGTTTAGAATACATAGATTTCAATACACTGAAGACTTTTCCACCAATGCCGTTCTTAATAAGAGTGAAGTACAGAAGACTATGCTGGATGCAATTAAAAGCTTTGGAAAAATCAATAAATATACAGTACATCCTTTTCGCTTCATAACATATTTGACTTTATATCTGTATATTATTGTCACACTTAGCCTAACGCGAGGAACGAGGAGACCAGGAGTACACGAAAACAATAGGTTTTTAATCCAAACATCCACGGAAATACACGGGCCAGTCAGGATCACAGGAAACACCAGGGTTGACATATAATCTCGGACAAACACAGATAGCACAGACTGGAGCTGATAAACACAGGGCAATCAGGGGAACACAGGTGCATGGAATGACTAATTAACAGGGAAGCGGAACACAACAAACAGTCCAGGGGCGTGACATTACTCCCCCCTCCCAGTAGGTGCGTCCTCACACCGTAGAAACAACATGGGGAGGGGAATGGGTGGGAACTAGGGAGGAGGCTCAGGAGGAGGACGGACACCCGGGAAGGGGCCGGCAGACAGAGTCCAGGGAGGAGACGACGGAGGGAGGATCCAGGGAGGAGACAGGCGGGGCTTGGAGCAGGAGGAGCCCAGCAGGACCCAGGCCACAGCCATATTGATGGCCCACGGTGGAGCCGACGCAGGGAGGAGCCATGGAGGAGGAATGGTCGCCGACTCCAGGGGGCTGACCAACGGTGGCGGAGCAGGTGGTGGAGGAGCCCGAGGCGGAGACGGAGAGCCGATGAGCCAGGGCGATGGGGAAGATCCAGAGGTCCTAGGCGGAGCAGATGGCGCCGGTGACCAACGCGAAGATGTGGATCCGGGAGGCCGCGGTGGAGCCGGAGCGACAAAGGACTGAGGTGGAGCCGAGGGGATGAAGGAGCCTGATGGAGCCGGAAGGACGAGGCGAAGCCAGAGGAGTGGAGTCCCGAGCACAGACTGGGGCTGATAAACACAGGGCAATCAGGGGAACACAGGTGCATGGAATGACTAATTAACAGGGAAGCGGAACACAACAAACAGTCCAGGGGCGTGACAACTATACGCTGTAGAATCTACATTTGCTATTGTATTTCTGATGTTATCTATTTTATCAGTGAAGAAATTCATAAAGTCATTACAATTAAACTGTGAGGGAATATTTAGATCGGGTGGCGTCTGGTTATTTGTTAATCTAGCCACTGTGCTAAATAAAAACCTAGGAGACGACAGAGGGAGGAGCCAGGGATGAGACAGGCGGGGCTTGGAGCAGGAGGAGCCGGAACACATGGGGAAGAAACTGGGTCACCGAACACAACAAACAGTCCAGGGGTGTGACAATTATGTATTATGTATTATTTATATTATGACTGTAAAATAAAGATATTATCCATTGTGGAATAACCTGACCTATAACCTGCTTGTTCTTCATAAAACATATTGTTTACACATAAGATACTAATCTCCTGTTCAAAATCTTTGTAAAAATTTTACCAAGTACATTAAACAATGAGATTCCTCTATAATTTTCAACATTGTTTCTATCACCATTCTTATATAATGGGCAAATCACGCCCTCACACCAAGCCTCAGGGAAATCACCTGTATACAATATTTTGTTATATAAAGAAGGCATAAAAGTACATAACATATGTGATGCTGCTTTCAGCATCTCAATAATAATGCCATCTGGACCAGTGGCTTTTCCATTGCTCATTGACATATAGTTTTGAAGATCTCATCATAAGTAATACTGCTATCCAAAGCTTCAACTTGATTAAAAAAGGCAGCTTCATGAGCATTCACACAATGTACAACAAAATTCTCAAAGTCAGCATGTCGGGCCCTTGGAATCATCCTATGGATTTGACGTTATGTAAATATAATGAACTGAAATCAATTTGCTTGTTTCTATTTCGCAAGTTTGTTTTATCAGAAGTCGAGTCACAGTTAAACTTAAAAGGATAGTTCACGCCAAAATGAAAATTCTGTCATTAATTACTTACCCTCATGTCATCTTTGTTCATCTTCGGAACACAAATTAAGATATTTTTGATGAAATCGGAGAGCTCTCTTACACGGAACTGTCATGTTCCCAGGTCCAGAAACGTAGTAAGGACATCGGTAAAACAGTCCATGTGACATCAGTGGCTCAACTTACATTTTGCGAAGCTACGAGAATACATTTTGTGCGCAAAGAAAACAAAAATAGCATACTTTATTCAACAATTCTTCTCCACCGAGTTACTCCTTCCGCCATTTTGGAGAGTATCCAAGAACGTAATCGACATAATCAGCGTTGTTTACGTTCGGGCGGAAAGCGCGCGCACGAACGTAATCTGCGTAATCAGCGTTGTTTACGCTTAGGGGAAAGTGTGCGTATGCGTTGTGATACTCTCTAAAATGGCGGAAGACGGTAACTCAGGGGAGAAGAATTGTTGAATAAAGTAATACATTTTTTTTCTTTGCACACAAAAAGTATTCTCGTAGCTTCGCAAAATTAAAGTTAAGCCACTGATGTCACATGGACTGTTTTACCGATGTCCTTACTACGTTTCTGGACCTGGGAACATTACAGTTCCGTGTAAGATAGCTCTCCGATTTGGGGTGAACTATCCCTTTAAGTTTAACTGTGACTCGACTTCTGATAAAAAAAACTTGCGAAATAGAAACAAGCAAATTGATCGTTGGTGTCTCTCTCCCCTCATCCGACTCTGACCCTCTGCC